ACGATCATCTAAAAAATAGTTGCTATTACTAATTTTGATTTAGACCTTACCGATTAGAGTATTTAATAATTACAATTATTAATCATCTGATTGGCATATTTTAGAGCAAGAATGTCTTATAATCGATTATCTAAACTGGTTTTTAGCCCTGTTCTGATTTATTTCTCAAAAGTTTAGCACAGACTCATTTATAATGAACCTATAATTATTAGAACTTGTTAATATTATATGTTCTAGAAAATAATCTATTCTTTTTTTGATTTAATAATTTATCTTTAATGCGCATAAGTAAATAAACAACCCTACTTGGTAAAAAAAAAATTAAATTAAATGCAATATGATTAACTTTATTAGTTAAGAATCTATGTCCGATTTAAATAAAATAATAAAATTTTCCAATTCTGGATTTGTTTTTTTTTTTTTAATGAGAATAACGTATGTGTTATGTCCTGAATCGTATGATTTTATTATATTATAATTTGAATAATAATTTCAATTAGCAAGTATTAGATAACATGTATTTCTTCTACAATAACTTATTGTTGATAATTAAAATTGATATCCTTTTTTAATAAATGCTATGAGTAGAAATAATGATTATATTGCGAACTTAATCATACGATTTTATTCTCATATAATTTATTTTGTTCGATCAATGTGTATCAAATAGCTTGTGTTTCTTCAAACAATAAGTAATTGTTGTTACTTTAAATCGATATCTTTTCAAATATAAATGCTGTAATTTTTGAATTAATAATTAACTACACCTTGCTTTATTATATTAAACTTTCAAGTCTAACCACTATCAATTTCTTCCATTCCTGGTTTCACGCGATGATATCGTGCAGCTATCTAGTTTCATAAGCAATAAATTAAAAAATATATCCAATTTAATTTTAACATTACACACTGATCATTCATGTAAATTTGTGTGACAGGCACTGATTAGATAAAAAGTGTGATTTCAAATCATGTAGTAGATACATAGATTCACCTGATAGAGACCAACTAGTATCACCTGACAATACTTGATGGCCTATTTGGTAAGTTATAGTTATTGTATGGATATTTGGGTGTAACTAATTACACACAGGTTTATATTCAAGTCATGTGGCCGAAGACCATGTAGTTTAGATATAACCCATGTGTAATTAGTTACACCCAAATATCCATATAATAACTATATTATCGTACGGGTCTGACGTAACAACCTGTGCGTACCCGGGCGCAATTAATTAAAAGTATAATGAAGTATATTAATCATTTAGTGTATAAAGTTTAGTTGATAGATGACATAATTACTTATTTATTATAAATATGATTTGTCTTCGCGTAGTAATTTTAAAGTAATTCTTGATGTGTCAAATAGAACTTTAACGATCAATGATTCTGAAGTGCTACAATTTTTAAACCTTCCTATGCTACAAATATAGAAACAAAAATATCCAAATGGCTTCGTCATGTTGATCAGTATAGAAAGAAAAAAAATATTGTAAAAACATTAAATAAATTTGTAATAAAGCCTTAGCATTAGCACTAATACTATGTTGAACCAAAATCAAAGATCTTTTATTTATACTATTATAATATCCACCAATGTAATTTCAATTAGTTATTTACATTATTTTAATTCATCTATTAACTATACTTAATAATTTTTCTTAACCCAGATAAGGTTTCTATTACCAAAAATCGTATGATTCCGAATTTGAACTTTTCACTAATAAAGTTCAATTTCATTCTTAAAACCAACAAATACCTCAAAATTAACAAACGCCTAGCATCAGAATCAACAAATGCCTATATCTCAGAACCAACAAGTGAAAAGAAACAAACAACGCTAGTAGAAAACAATCATCATAATTAAATAATTGAATGCTGTGAAGAAAAAGATGAAGAAGTATCATTGCCCATTGAAAATAACAAAGACTGTAAAGTATAATAGCAAATTACGAATAATGTTATTATTCAATTTCCTGATGCTAGCAAACCAATCGACCTCAATTTGAAGATTTCTTTCAATAATCAGCCAAAATGTATTGTAATTAATATAATTACTTAGCCAATTATTAAATTGCGTTTCGCTTAGCTAATTACAATTTAAAAAGTACACTGATTATAATTTAAAAAGCACACTGATTATAATTTAAAAAATACACTAATTATAATTTACTAATTACAATTTAAAAAATACGTTAATTACTGTTTAAAAGTATTCGCACGGGTCTATATGAAAATCATGTGAATTTAAAAATCACATGAGTTTCATATAGACCCGTGCAATAAGTAAACGAAAAAAGCACGGGTTGTTACATAAGACCCGTATGATAAATTGAGTGTAACCGTTAGTAGAATGTTTTCAAGTGATCCAATTTATACGATCTTTAATTCGGGAAGTTAAATTATTCATTTCGTATGTTCTTCCAACTAGCCGTAAAAAAAAATTAATTACTACTATATCACATAGAGAAGCAGCCTGTCTGTACGTCACTTTTGAAGGTCTTTATTATTGAAAATGAATAATTACTTTTCGAGAGCCTTTGTTACTATATTGATAATTATTGTGTCAGATTAAAATGAAATCAGATTAAAATGAAATGAGTGATAGTGTAAAATAGACAAGCCACCGAAAAATACAAATTTTTGGGGTGCATTTTTTTAGGGTTAGGATTAGGGTTTAGAGGCAGGTTTTATAATAAACAAGTATAAATGGGTTTTAGAGAGTCAAATAGAAACCCCTCATTTCATTTTAATCCGATTTCATTATGATCTGCGACAATTATTATTATAAATTTAAACTCCTGCCTTATTATTGGAGTCAAAATCCCACATAGACTAACAAGATAATAACTAATTTTAGCAAATTTAAGTTTCGCTAAAATTATTTTGACGGATTATTGTATTAGGTATGATCTACACACTCGACTCAAAAAGTCGAGTCTTGTTAAAGTTCTGTCCCAAGTCGGACTTGGGATTTCGACTCACATCTACACGTGCATTTAGTATATATGGATAAAGCATAAAAAATGTGTATTCATGTATACTTTGCATGCATTCACAGTTTTTAATAAATATACGGAAGTAGGTACGTAGATCATTAAATAAAATTTTAAAGATTTTAAAGCAGATTATCGAAAACTATGTATATTTTTTGATTATTATTAATATATATCCAGATAGCTTGCCGGTGTAGCTAACCCACGAGCTAATAGTAATATGATTAACGAAAAAAATAAATAAGATTAGTTTTATTTTGCTATTTTCTTGCAAAACTTAATAACAAACTTATCAATAGTGTTAAGGCAGGGAATGGATTTTTACTAAATGCATCCGAAGCACCTTCGATGCATGTGCATATGCGAGTCAAAGTTTCAAGTCTGACTTGGGACCGACCTTTAGCAAAGGCTCAACTTTTTGAGTCGAGTCGGACTTTTCACGTCACTATAAATAGATTACATACTCAAAATTTTTTTACTAAAGATTTTTAAGCATTTATATAGAAAATTATACAGAACTTCGGCTCTCTGCAGGCACATCTGATTATAAATAGATACGAATGATTTATAAATTACATTAAATTGTAGTCTATATTACGGATATTTATTTAAGTAGGACCAAACGCGATGCTATTAAAACGTAATGTCGGGTTTCATGTTCTAATAATACAGTCGAACCTCCATAATTGCACCCTCTATAATTGCACCCATATATAAATTCTCCCTAAATGGATGCCCTGGCATGGTCCCAAGTATATAAAAACATAGTAAAAATAACCTCTATAAATGCACACCCTCTCTAAATAAACATTTTTAAAAATTTGTCTTATGGTCCCAAGGGGGTGCAATTATAGAGGTCCGACTGTACCATGTTCAACACTTGTAAAACCTAGAGATGGGCAATGCCTTGCATGCACGCAATTATGCATGTGCATAATACGCACTTAAGTGCTCATAATATATAAAATGACAATCGTGATAATAATCGCTATTCAATAGTAGATTAGTAAAACGTAAATCAAGATCTTGGTCACTTAACGTAACTGACTTTTTTTAAAAAAAATGTTGTAGCTTCATTAAGCTAGATTAAATTTATGTAGAGTGACAGTTATAGTATTAAAGTATTACATTCTTCCGGTTTAACGCCACTTTAAAGCCGATTAATTTTTTGAATAATGTATTGTTTAAGAGGTAGAAATAATTTCTATAGCACTAATTACGGTTTGTATGACGGTTATTTATTGTTATCAATTTACAATGTCGACAAGTTGCCTTAATGATCAATGAATGACAATGATGATTAGGACAAACAAATGGTTGGACCTTGCTGATTATAATTTACAAGTAAGGTGGATCACAAACTTAAAATGTAAATAAAACCTATTTTATATATAATCCTATTATATATATATATATATTTGGGTAATTTTTTTGGATCAAAATCTTTAAAGAAAAATTAAAATTTGAACACGATGAAATTTGGTAAACTGCTTCAAACTGAATCAGTGCCCGAGTGGAGAAAAAAGTAATTAAGTATATTTATAATTGCTTATAGTTAATAATTATCTAAAATACCCAATTTTGATTTCTGTGATTTAAATTAGATATATCGACTATAAAGGTCTAAAGGCAAAGTTAGAAAAAGTTCAGCAAGCTCAATATATAGAACCAGAATCATCTACCACTTGTTTCGGAACCATGAGTAGTATTTATGACTCACCAATCACTTATGAACATTCAAATAATCTTCAAACATTTCCTTTCTCGCCCATTGAAGAAAAAGGTGAGAATAATGAGAATTTAAACCTTGAAATTATCAAACCTAGTATTTCAAACTCTATAAGGCCCCACTCACTCCGCTGAAGATCAAAATAAGTTCGTTTAGAGGGACTCATTCTACCCAAATAAGATTACCTTCTCGATTGAGAAGCAAATCATGTACCGTATTTCGCGAAATAACGCCTGCACATTATTTTGAGTATACGGCGTTATTTAGAGTATACGCATGAGCGTTATTAATTATTCCCCAGTTCTTAATTATACTTCCATACTATCTTTTCGCGTTTATTGTCCAGATTTCAAATTCGGCCTGATCCGGTATACGAAATTTTAAACTATTAAAGTTAACGTTATTAACGTTAGCGTTACTAACGAAAAGTAAAAGTTGTTGGTAGTAAATCTGACCTTTATGAAATGAGCAACTTTAATTTGAA